GGGAAGGTGGCTCAAGCCAGGTAGCTGGTACCTAGCAGACTCAATGCCCTGAGTTCAATTTCCAGTAGCACTAAAAAACAAATAAGCCAACAAATAGATTAATAAGTAAATTAATTAATTAATTAAACATGCAAATAATCAGGCAAGACATTCAAGACCAATGCTTAGTTAGTGTGGACTGCCATGCAAAATATAATTGAGTGGAAGAGAATTTACTTTCACAGAGTTCTGAAGACTGGAAGTCTGGGATCACTGTGTCTCTACATAGAAAATGTGTGTGTGTGTCAGAGAGAGAGAGAGAGAGAGAGAGATTGACACCCTGTGGGATTAGGATTTCCCCTTGTATGAGCTCATCTAACTTTAATTCCCTCCTAAAGCTAAAAACCTGGTCTCCAGACAAGGTTAATGTCACCTTGGAGGTCAGAGCCTCAACAACATATGAGCTGGGGGTGTGGGCACAGTGTTGTTCATAGCAATAAATAAATAACAAACACACATGCTCTTATGTTTATTGTTCCCTTATTTCCTCACTCTTGTTTTTTTTCTAGCTTGCTGAGTATATAGATAATTTGTCTATGGTTTTATTCTTTTTAGAATGTATGTTTGAATGTTTGAATCCATGATTTTTCTTTTTTGGTACTGGGATCAAACCCAGGGTCTTGTGCATGCTAGGCAAGTGCTCTACCACTGAGCTCCATCCCAGCCCAAATCCATGATCTTTCTATTAAGCATCGCTTGATTTGACCCCCCTAGATTGTGGCCCACAGTGCTGTTAGCTACAATTAACTCTCACTTCCTACATAGCTCCTTTCCAGTGGAAGGCCCTAGGTGTTCATGGCCGTGATTATTTTATTTTCAATCTTTTTTGCCTTTGTGAGAATATAATGTTCCTCTTTGTTATCATGTGGATTTGCTTTGGAAGTTTACCACCTCCAGATTTCAGATTTCCACAGATACACTTTTTTCTTGACAGGCAAAAGACAACTGGGAAAATACATTTGCTATAATTGAGACAAGGTTTCTTCTATACTGCTGGGAAAACTTTTTTTCTTTTAAATGAATGGGCTTTCCAATCTGTCATTTATCCACTTTTGTGAAAGAGAATTCTAGTATTGGGGGAATGAAGTCATTTTGGTAAACAGCAAAGGAAATTACTGGTAAGTGTGCTTCAATTGGTCAGTCTAGGTTGTGCTGTGATAAAACCAAGGCTCAAGTCTTGGGTCCTCACAACAATGTAGGCTTATTTCTTGATCATATATACATGATAAGGGCTGGAGCTATATATTGTTTTTAATCATGGTGGAACATCAGGCACATGGAGACTGAGAGACTCCTTTCCTCCTTCCTTCCACATCTATTGGGCAAAGAGACAGTGAGCAAATCTCCCATTGTCTTCCAAAGCCTGGAAGGACCAGACTTGAGTTCTGCTCATGTGTCATTAGCAAAGCATCCCATGGTCACCCTATATGGAAAGAACTAGAAAGTACATCCCTTTCTGTGTCTACACAAAGAATAGGCAACATTTGGTGAATGTTCTCACTGACTACCATACACTCTACTGCCTTTTCCAAAACCTATTTTTGCATTTGTTGATTACTCTTCTAGTAATTTTCCTCAAAAGACAGGAAAACAAAACTGAAGTTAGTTTGTATCACTTACCCCTCTGGAAGGTGTCAGACTTGGAATCACACACATGCTAAACTGAGCAACTTAGGAAGGTGAACCTCAGCATGTATGTCGGGCTGGTTGTGAAGCAAGAACACAAGCATATTTTTTTCAGGGACATTTTCATGGCAAAAGAAGCAGGGCATAGTCAGAGACGATATTTAGATGCAAATAATTATTGGTAGCTATCACATGTCAGGCAGGGGGCCAGGTACTTTTGGATATGCTAGCTAATTCAATTTGATTCCTTATAAAACAATTTCAGGTGAGTTTTATTAGTCATAATTTGTATACACAGAAACTGAGGCTCAGGGAAGCAAATGACCTGCCCAAAAGCCATTAGCTTTGAAATGGAAGTTTTGTTTTAGCTCTTATCATCTAATTCTACAGAAGTTAGAATAATGCAGTGTGCATTTAGATAATATATGTTTGGCAGTCCTATGAGATGCAAGAAAGGTGGAACCTTGAGTAGCATTGTAAAGAGGATGGAGTTTATTAGTTAGGGAGTGAAACAGCCAGGAAGGGCTTTAGTCCTCTGTAGCACTGATCCATGATTGCTGCCTGGAATAAAAAGAAATGGGGGTCACTGGAGACTTGGAGACTCAGGTAGGTCTGAATGAGTGTGGGTGTTGGCAGTGTTCTATCCAGTCTCAGACCCACTGGGAATGACAGAATGAAGTTGGAGCTTCCCCTCCAAAGAGATCACTCTGTTTTCTTAAAGATTTGCTCCCAGAAAATGCTTCCATCAAAAGTAGAATAAAGTGAGAAAGCAGGCAACTGCCTAAGTACCAAGTAGACAAGGCCTTTCTCCAAAACAACAAAAACAACAAAGCCATCTCCTCCCCATCACTTGACCAGAGTGACATTTTACCAGTGAGGATCAGAAGGAGAAGGGCTATTAAAACATTTCCTTACTAACAATGTCCAGATAAGTAAGGTAAATGTGTAGGGACAATTTGAATGGACATCCTAAAAAAGAGGCCCTCAGCTCTGGCTCTGTTGATTTTTCAACAGTAACCTTCCCCACTTTTTAGGGAAAGCCTGCAATTTTAAATGATTAAAGCTTGTTTAAATTTCTCAGCATCACTGTGCTGGCCACATTTCAGCTCTGTTTGTTGTTTACCACCTCTGGGGTCGGTTTTAACACCACGCTATCAAAACCCTTTCAAATTTGAGAGCACATCTTGAGTAAAACTACATGCAGAGCAGGTTCATTTGGATGGTGGAGAGGGTGGATAGAAAGTTTCAGAGTCAGGCAGGGACTGCAGGGAGGCCCTGGGCCACATGCTGGCCATCCCAGTGCCTGACAATGGAAAAGGAAATGGATCAATGCAGTGACAATATTTGTTGCAACCCAGGCTTCCTGGCTGACCAGCTGGAACTGGACTTGGAGCGAAAAGAGAGCCTGGCAAAGCTTGTGCATCTAGTAGCATCTGTTGGTCCCTTCCCATTTACATTACAGTAATGCAGTTGTGTGGTATTTGAAAAAGCATCCCTAGTTACACGGAATGATTTACAGGACACCAGACTCTGCATTTCACAGGTCTCCTGTGTACCATAAAAACTATATTATAAAGGAATAATCTTTATCTGAACTAAAGCTGCAGTGAAGGAAACCCATGTCCAGCTGAGAGCAGCAGTGAGCTTTGTTCACTGAGGGAAAAGTCCCCGTTCTTCATCTTATTTGATTAACATTTTTTTCCCTCTTTGGCACTAGGTACCTTGTTAATATTTAGACATTGTATACATTTTCTTTCAACTGTTGTTCCCATTATGTGATCAAACAATAAGGGAGAAGCCAGCCACATCAGCTGGAGAAGGAAACCACACCTGCCAGGCACCCAGCTGTGGCTAGCAGGATAAACCACTCACTAGAGCAGCCCCAGGAGGAGACCAACCTAGCTGTGCACAGGGACAGCTCCTGTTCCCAGGAAGCTGAGTTCGCTACAGTGCCTCAGTTGATTGCTTTCCTTTTTCCTCCTATTCCAGCCTCCCATTTCTTTCACTTTCCTGAGCAAAAGGCAACAGGAAACAGAATCTACTTTTGAATCTTTCAAAGCCCTCTGATGTTACCCCCCACCCAAGAGGGAAGTGAGGGGTAGAAATTTCTCTGCAGAGAAAAATACGCTTAAAAAAATTCAACGAGGCTGTATATAGACAGCCTGCAACCCACCTGGTCTCCGTTTATTATGTGTTCAAAGGAATGATGGTCCCAGTCCATTTCAGTCCAGGAAAACCTGATCTCCTTTAGCAGCCGATGCCTCCCAAAGGGCACAGGTGTGTGCACCTGTAGTTAGGGTATGGAGGAGGGGACAGATTCATCTCTTGGAGCAGAAAGTACTGTCATCTGTGATAGGAAAGCGGCAAAGGCTCTGGGTCTGGGACACCTGGGGGTTTGTATCACAGCTCCACCCAAGACGCGCTTCAAGATAAGATGGGGAGGCTGGAGAGATGGAAGTTGGGATGGGTACCCTGTGGTGGAGAAAGAATTACTTCTGAACCCCAGGCAGGACAATAAACAAGGTGACAGAATGCAAGGGTCAGGGATGGGCTGAGTTTGCTTGGAGTCCCAGGGGAAAAGGCAAAGCCAAGATCGCCACTCGCTGGCCCCCAGCTTCCCGGTACCCGTGGCAGTGGAGGGTAGCACTGGACTCACATTACCAAAAAGTATTGGGACACTGGTCTCCGACTCCCAAGGGAAGGGAAGCACGCGAGGTCTGGCTGGGAGCACCCCGAGTGCGCGAGAGACGGATGGCGGTGGGGGGCACGATCTCCGCTCTCCCGGATGCCCCAGCTCTGGCTCACGTCTCGGCTCCCGCGCCCCCTCCGCAGGCGCGCGCCACGCACCCCCCTTCCCTCGGCGGCGTCGGGCGCGCGCCCGGCCCCCTCCTCCTCCTCTCGGCGCCTCTCCTCTCTCCCGGCAGAAAGTTAGCAGCGGGGAAGGAACTCGGGGCTGCAACAGAGCGCGGCGGCGGCGGCGGGGACTGAAGCCGGAGCCGCGGCGGATCGGGGGAAGCGGGGGCGCTGCACACGGAGCAGGTGCAGCCGGCGGGTCCGCGCGCCCCCCTCGGTCCCCTTGCCAGAGGCTGAGGGGGTTGGGGGGGAAGCCCACCCGGACTCCGCGGGCCGAGCGGGGAGGGGGGAGGCCATGCGGCCGGGCTTCCCCCCGGCGCAGCGGGACAGCGGCCAGGGCCGGGGGCGCAGCGGCGTCGCTTCATGCAGCCGGGGCGGCTGGGCAGCGGCGGCGGCGGCGGCGGCGGGGGCGGCGGCTGAAACCATGTCCGGGCCGCGCCGGGGGCTGCCGCCGCCGCCGCCGCCGCCAGCCGGGAGCCGCGATGGCCCCGTGGCCCGCACCTCCTCCGCCTCTGCCTCCGCCTCCACCACTCGCCGCGCCGCCGCCGCCCGGCGCCTCTGCTAAGGGGCCGCCAGCGCGCAAGCTGCTTTTTATGTGCACCTTGTCCCTGTCTGTCACCTACCTGTGCTACAGCCTCCTGGGCGGCTCGGGCTCCCTGCAATTCCCCCTGGCGCTACAGGAGCCGCCAGGCGCCGCCGCCGAGACCCCGCCGAGCCCGCCGCCACCCTCTCTGCCGCCTCCCCCCGTGCGCCCCGGCGCCCCCTCGCCGCCGCCCGCGCCGCCGCCACCGGACAACGCGAGCCACAGGGAGCCGCCCGAGCCCCCTGAACAGCCTGCCGCGCCCGGGGCCGACGGCTGGGGACTGGCGAGCGGCGGCGGCGGCGGCGGCAGCGCCCGGGACGCCTGGCTCCGGAGCCCGCTGGCCCCCGGCGAGATGATCACCACGCAGAGTGCGCTGCTGGAGAGAGAAGCGCAGGAGTCCAGCACCACCGACGAGGACCTCGCAGGCCGGAGGGCGGCCAACGGGAGCAGCGAGAGGGGCGGCGCCGTTAGCACCCCGGACTACGGGGAAAAGAAGCTGCCCCAGGCGCTCATCATTGGGGTGAAGAAAGGAGGGACCCGCGCGCTGCTGGAGGCGATCCGAGTGCACCCGGACGTGCGGGCGGTGGGCGTGGAACCGCACTTCTTCGACAGGAACTACGAGAAGGGGCTGGAGTGGTACAGGTAGGACCCTGCGGTCCGGGGAGACACACCGGGGACACCCGAGGTGAGGCGGCCGCTTTCCGCGCCCCGCGAGATCCCGGTACCGTCCCCGCGTGCGAGTGTCCTGGCCGCGGCGCGCAGGGGTTGAGGTTGAACTCCGTTTAAAAATCACTTTATTTCAAAGCGAGAGGAGGAGTCTCTGCCCTGCCTCAGCCTCCTTATCCAGGCAGGAGCTGTCGGAATTTCTCCAGCTCCAAGCTTGGGAATCCCCAGCCCTGTGCCTGCGGGTGTTTCCTGACCCAGGCTTTTGCCAGGTTCTGGGATTCTGTGTTGGGGACACCCGAGGAATGAGACAGTAGAGTTAAATTGGCGAAGGAGCTTTGAGATCCTCCTGGAATCAATCAAAATCGCCCTTAAACGCTTTTGCGTGGCTGGAATCCAACTTTAGTATTTTAAGGTCAAGAGCAAAATGAATAGGGGAACAGTTAAAGTGAGGAAGCTGGCGTCTGGGCTTTCAAGTAAAGACAGGTTGTTTCCCACCTTCTTAACTTTTCTATCTGCCTTGGCTGGACGCACACTGGGTGAATTTTGCATCAGGAGCTTCTATGTCTAAATGACAGTGGCTGTCTTTAGAGCGTTTGTGCCCTGCACCATGCCCTTTTTGTCTACACCTCCTTCGCGACAGATTGGAGGTATGTCTTGTGAGATGCTCATGTCCTTCCCTCTCCACCTTCAGCTGGTGGTGAGAGAATGGAAGCAGAGAGGACTAAAAAGTTGAGTGCTGGTGAAGTAAATTAACAATCCAGCTTCTTTGCCAGCCATAACATTTTAAAACAGCACTGGAGCAGGGGTTCCCAATGCAAACCTCTTGCTTTTTTTTCTTCTTTCCTTCCTTCCGTTTCATATCTTTCTGGAAAATAGATCTAGATGACTGTCTCCATCTCTATTGCATTTCAGTAATTAATTGCAATTGTCAAACAGAAACACAGCTTTTGTCAGCCAAAGTGATGTTATCATCTTGTTAACAGGAGCCAGTAGGTAAAATTGTCTTCAGCAGGAAGGTAACCTTCCTGCTGAAGACATGTGCTTTCTAGGTCTGGGGAAGTTTTAGAAATTACTTCACTTCAGAAATATATATAATAAATGTGAGTATTGTGATTGATTTCCTCCAGTTAAAAAAGAATATGCTTTATGCTTTAAAAGCTTGAGAGAAGGTACACTTAGGCATAAACATTCCAGCACATTTTACTGTAGCAGCAAATGTGTCTGTTAATATCTTGTCTGTTTCAACAGCAAGAACTAATTGCAATATTTTAGGAGGCTTCAAACAGTCCCTTCTTATCAAAACATAAAACAGCAAATACCTAATTTAACTGGAAAATCAGTATTTATAACATCACAAACTATGGCTTCCAGTTTTCGATTATAATTAAAAAGGTGTTAGGATGATTTATGCCATAACAGCAAAATAAAGACAGGGTATGATGTCTGGGAGGGGTCTGTTGTTTAATTGTTAGGTGTAGGAATGTTCTAGTCTTTTCTCCAAGATAGCTTTGGCCCTAGGAAGGTAAGCATAGGCTTTTCCACCCCCCAAGTCCTAATTTTAAGCTGCTTACTTCATGAGAAGTGTCAAGTACCCTTTGAGGGAGGCATAAAGATCAAATCTTTTCAACATGTGTTTGAGTTGCTTTGCAGCAGCTGGGAACAGAGAAGGGGGTGTTTTATTCAGATGACTTAAAGTTGATGAGGGGAGCTTGCTGCCATTGTGGGGCTCTGGAGAATTTCCTGTGTTCTTTTACACTGAGGCTAGGCAAAGAATGCACATAAACAGTGTTGCAACATGGCTCCTGAAGATTTGCTACTGAGTTGGCGTGCTCCCAGCAAGCACTGGTGGTATTTGGGGCTTGGTGTCATTATTTGGTAGAACTGCTGACTTCAAGGGGTGTGGATAGAAGGGAATTCACTTGGTCTTCACTTGAGGACCATGTGACATTTCTGGATTTTCCACCCCTCATCCCACCATCTTGCCCATTGTTGATCTTTATAAGGAGAGATGTTGACTGGAAGTGCAGGAAAAGCCACTCTCTTAAGAACAAGCTTCCTGTCATGGTCTAACACAGAGGGAATGATTAGCACTGAAACCGGGCTGTGGAAAGGACCCTTAGAAGCTTCTTGGTCTCACAAGAGCCCAGTCACTGGCCCTGGTTGTGGAGAGCTCTGTACCCTTGTCACAGACAGTAGTGCATTGAAGACATTTGTGAGATTTTTGTTAGTTCCATCTCTTTGTGCCTTGTTCCCATTGAGGAAAAGGGGACAACAGCCACACTCAATTGCAGAAAAGGAAATAGCAGTGCTGTTTCAGACCAGTGGCAGAAACCCTTTGCCTTGGTACCCTGGTCCAACTCTGAACCTTTTAAAGGATGGGATCTGTACTTACCTGGTTAAATTCCTTCTCCTACTAGGAATGCTATCTTGAATCTGTTTTCCTGATTAAAGATCTACAGGTTATTTAAAGCTATTTATTTATTATTTTAAATGCGCTTCTAATAGCCTACCAATTCTGGATGTGGTTTGGGATTTCGTGTTTCCAGCAAGAAGAAATTGGGGCTGTTGCCAGCTTAGCTGGCTTAGCTTCCTCATGTTCAAGTAGTCACTCCTAGCAGAGTTATTTCCTTGGTGACACTCCAATGATCCCTAAATGCGGGTTTTGCTTTGCTCCTATGCTGTTGATCTAACGAATGTAAAAACACATTGAAGATTAGAACACGAGCACTAGATTCTCAGGGCAGCATTGACTAGTGGATTAGGATGTGTGTTAAGGCTTCAGAGAAGCGAGCCTTATGGTGGATTGACACAGGTCAATGATTAATAAATAAATTGGAGCAGATTAAATCCTCTACCCATCTTCCTGTCTCTCTTCAAAAAGGGCAAAGCCACAACCAACTTCACAATGAGCTGTCTGGGCACAGACCTTGAACTCTTCTGAGGAATGAGACTTGGGGTAGGTCCCTAGCTGCCACTGTAGAACTCATCAAGGTGACAGAGGGACACAAGTGGTTTCTTCCACTGTGGGTTGCATGCTGTAGTGACCATGACACTTACCTTGGAAACCGCTGAGCTCTGGGGTAAGGAGAGGTGATGCTGCATGGTTTTATTCTCTCTGTCTGCAGTCAGTATTCACATCCCATTGGTTAGGGGTAAGTAACTCAGGCTTCTGGGAGGAAGGTGGTCCACACTCAGCATCATTATTCATTGCCATGGTATCTGGAGAGAGAAAGAAGGATGGAAAGGCACTGCTGGTATTGATGAGTGCTGGCTGTTATGGTGGCTGGCACTTTGTAGACTATTGTCACATTTGAGTGTTGTGATGATGCCCTGAGCTCAATAGCAGCATCTCCATTTTATGGGCAGCATTTCCTTTATTTGAAGAGGGTAAATGACAGAGTCAAGCTCACTCTGCTGGTCAGTGCCTGAGTTGACATTCAAACCCATATCTGTCCAATTCCAAAGATCTTTGCTGCTTTGCGTGGAGCACTTTGCACTAGAAAGGTCATGTACATTTTCCATTCTTTTGTTCAACAAATACTTAATAAATATTAACCATGCACCTAGTACCATTATAGGTACAGAGGATAAAGCTGTGAATAAGACAGATGCAATACCTGCTCTCCTGAACCTGTTGTTTTAGTGGGAGAGTTGGAGAGATGAAAACAACCAAAACTAGATAACACAGTGTGAGAATTCTAGTTGTGATGAAGGCTATGAGGAAAAAGACATGAAGTGTTGGCCCAGGGTGCCTTTATCCAGTGTGGTAGCTGCCATTTGAATATGGCTGTTGAACCTGTGAAACGTCCACAGTGAAGTGTGTTGTAAGTATACAATACACAGAATGCTAAATTGCTCATTAATAATTTTATATTGATGACATGTTGACATTATAATAATCCTACTGAGCTAAAAGTATATATTATTAATTTAATTTCACTTCTTTTTGCCTTTTAAATGTGGCTGCTAGAAAATTTAAAAGCACTCTTGTAGATGTACATTGTAGTTCTGTTGGGCAGGGCTTGTATAGTGTTAAGTTAGCTTTTTAAACTTACAGTGAGCCTGGGTCACCTGGGGTATTATCTGCTCTTATCATACAGATTCTGAATAAGGCCCTTTGAGGAGGGCCTGAGATTTTGCACTTCTGTCACCCTCCCAGAATAATTGCTGCTTCTTGTTCTTGGCTCCTTCACTTTGAGTAGTAAGGAGCCAAGAGATGAATTGCTGTGTGTGCATGTGTGTGTGGGGGCACACATATGTCCACACTCATGTGTGTTATTTTAAATAGGATGATTAGGGAAGATTTCTCTGTGGAGGTGATATAAAATGAAGCAAAAGTGTAAGATTCTTCCATGTGAAGATCTGGTCAGAGAGGTTTCCCAACAGAGGAAACAACAGGTACAAAGGTCCTGAGGTGGAAAGGCGCTTCATGGCTCTGCAGAGTGCTCATTCATGACTCTGAAAACACCGTCTATGTAGCTGGATGACACTGGGGTCGAACCTGATGTGGTAACTTATGAGTTAGATGAGTTCCTTTGAATAACTTATGTAATACTACTTAGCTTCAGTTGCTTATCTGAAAGTAATTCCTTGCTTGTAGGATTGCTGGGAGAAATAAATAACAAACATGAATGTATTTTTATAGAAAATGAGTATCCTAGAGTAGAAATTCAGTTGGGCCTGGCTACTGTTTTTTTTTTTTTTTTCCATTTCTCAAATCATTTTGGTCTCTTAGATGCTTTACCTTCTATCAAGGATGCGATAATGTTGACTTGTCTTATTTGGGATGGTTTGGGAAAAGCCCAATAATGCCTGGCTTTGCAACTTGCATCTATTGCATCTTTTAAACCAAGGCTGGAAAAGTCTGATGCTGACGGCGGGGCGGGGGGAGTATATGTGTCATGTGAGTGAGTGCAGTAAACTGGGGCCGGACTTGGACCCCCCATTCCTGGTTAAGAGGCAGCCATGGTTCCTTC